ACCATCATCATCACCATCATCATCACCATCATCACCATCATCATCATCATGACCATCATCATGATCATCATCACCATCATCATGACCATCATCATGACCATCATCATGACCATCATCATGATCATCATCACCATCATCATGACCATCATCATGACCACCATCACCATCATCATCATCATCATCATCATGACCATCATCATGATCACCATCATCATCACCATCATCATCACCACAGCCATAGCAGTAGACCAGTAGCCACCATAAGAAAAGCAGAATATCTTGAATAGAAAAAAAACAGCAACCTGTTAGTTGTTTTATTTGAGGTGCAGTTTGGGAACACGAGGGCAGTCTCGCATGGGGCAGGGTGTAAAGATGTGTTCAAAGGGAGTCTTGAGATATTCAAAATGTCCAGAGTACAATAGAAAACCAGAAACCTTGTGAACTAAATGAGGACAGACAATTCTCCGATGTGAGTTTTGGAGAGTGGACTGAGATGATTCAGATGTTGGGATTATCTGGGCAAGGATTTTAAAGCAGCCACCATAAAAATGTTTCAGCAAGCAATTACACTTTCCCTGAAACAAACGCAAAAATGAAAAACTTCGGCAAAGAATTCAAAGTTATGAAAAGAGAACCAAACAGAAATTACTAAACTGAAAAATGCAACAGAAATTTAAAACTAGGCTGGAGGGACCCAAGAGTAGGGAGAGATGACAGAGAATAGACTCGATGGATTTCAGGGCAGGTGGACAGGTTTGACCCAACCTGAACAACAGGAAAAATAGGCTAAAAAAAGATTAATAACAACGTCTCAGGGTCCTGTGGGACGATTATAAGATTGCTAATTTCTGAGTCTTCAGAGACCCAGAAGAAGAGAGAAAGAGGGACTGAAAAAATGTTAGAAGAAACTATAGCACAAAACTTTCCCAATCTGGCCAAAGACATAAATCTACAGATTCAAGAGGCTGGATAAATCCCAAAGGGGACCAAAACAAAAACATCCACGCCAAGACACAAAATTAAAGTTCTGAATACTAAAGATGAGAAGAAGAAAAAAACCTTGAAAGTAGCCTGAGAGAAAAGACACGTTACCTGCAGGGGTTCACCTGTCAGATAACAGGTGCTTTCTGATCTGAAACCACAGAGACCGTGGAGAAGCACCTGACACAACATCCTCCAAGTGCTGAAAGAAAACAGTTAACCGTAAATGTTATTTCTAGCCAAAATAGCCTTGGGGATGAAGGGGAAATAAAGACATTCTCAGATGACCTGTTGCTTAGCAAACCTATTCCTTTATATATATATATATATATATATATATATATATATTTTTTTTAGTAAGAGAGAGATAGAAACATTGATGAGAGAGAAACATCATCGATCGGCTCCCTCCTGCATGCTCCCTACTGGGGGGAATGGATCCCTCAACTCAAGCATGTACCCTGACTGGGAATCAGACCGTAACCTCCTGGTTCATAGGTTTACGTTCAACCACTGAGCCATGCCGGCCGGGCAGCAAACGTATTCTTAAAGAACAGCTCAAAGAAGTCCTCTAAACAGAAGGAAATAATAACACAACAGAAAAGGGCGTGGGACTTCCGGAAGAGCAAAAGAACTTGGGATTGGGTAAAAACAGGGGTAACCGTATTAAGACTGTTCTTCTCATGAGTTTCTTAAATCATTTGATGGTTGAAGGAAAAAACCTTAAGACCATCTGAGGTTGTGCTTGACATGCTCAGAGGAAATACAGAAGACAATTTTGTTTTACAAGTTGGGAGGGTAAAGGGACTTAAATAGAAGTCAGGCTCCTACATTTCACTCCAAGTCATGAAATGTCAGTACCGGTGGGCCGTCGTGTTACCTGGGACAATCACTAAGAAATCATACAAAAACCGATAAATCAATCAATATAGAATCCTAAAAATTGCTTAAGTAACCCACGGGAATAAAAACAAGAAACAGGGGGCGGGGGAACAGAAAATAAAATGGCAGAGCTGAGACAGAACATATTACTTTAAACATAAACTGTCTAAACACACCAAGTAAAAAGACAGGGACTGGTACCATGAATCTGAAAATGACCCAACTATATCGTCTTCAAATACTCTATATGCTCACTTCAAATATGACATAGATTGTTTCATCGCTTAGTCAGCCGTTACTTCACTGATGGCCATTATTAACTCTGTCTCCGGTATTTTGCCCCTAAACACTATCATATGTGCATTTGAATATAAAAACAAACAGAAAGACCACAATACACAAAGCCGAGGTGTTGAATCTCACACACTCCCGGGAACGTGCCCTGAGAGAGCCCTCAACAGATGACAATTTCTGCTTCTGCCCATCCCCATCTGCCCAGGACAAGGGGTCCCTCCTGCTCAGCTGCCCAGCCCCATAAGAGCAGAGAGAGAGCCCTACTGTGCTAAACACCCACCCGGGTGAGGGCTTGTTGACCCTCAGAACAGGACAACATTCCTGTTTGTTCCTGCTGACCCCCCTTCTGGGCTCTGTCTCAGACCCACCTATGACCCATGTTTAAGATGCAGACTCCAGGGCCCTCCCGACTCGAGCTCCAAGCATGAGGCCTAGGCCTCACTTTTGGTCCCAACTGCAGATGGTCACAGCCTCAACTCCTAACCCAGGGCTCTCCCAGGAGAGGGAGAGGGAATGGGGGACAGACCACTTAAACGAGAGTCACCACCAGGATCACAAATTACTCTGGTGCCGACAAGAATGAACCGAACCCGACGTGACCAAAGACTGCACAGTTTTGCCTTTTATTGAACACCTTGCTGGTGTCGAGGGGTGAGCTCACCGCCTTCGGGGGCCACCCCCTGCGTGGGGCCCCTCAGAAGCATCGTCTCTGGACCACGGACGTCCCAAACTCCTTGAAGTCCACAGAGGTGACCCACATCTGCCTGAAGCTGCTCAGGGAGGTGACGATGGAGGCACCAATCCAGGTGGAGAACCACCTGTCAGGCGGTGCTGTGATCTTGATGGGGGTCCCCTTGGAGGCCAGCTGTTCCAGCTCCTTCAGCAGCCGGTCGTCCAGCCCCTGGAACAGGGTGGTGCCCCCGGACAGCACGATCTCCCCGTAGAGCATGTTCTGGATTTCGGCATCGCATTTGGTGATGCTGTAGGAGACCATCTTGGAGAGGCCGGGGTTCTGTATGCCCAGCTGCTCGGGCGCAAACAGGGCCTCGGGCGCCTGGAACAGCTGGTCGCCGATCTGGATGACATTGCCGTCCGGCAGCTTGTACTCCCTCAGGACCTCCTCCGGCCGCCGGGACAGCTCCTTCTCCGGCTCCAGGGCCACGTAGCACAGTTTCTCCTTGATGTCTTCCACCAGGGCCTTGTTCAGCACGCAGGGGAAGGCCCGCCCGCTCGCCTGCAGCAGCCGCGTGAGGTGCTCGGTGATGTCCCTCCCCGCCACGTACAGCTTGGTGACCGCGTGCGGCAGGGAGTACCCCTCGAAGATGGGCACGGTGCAGGTGACCCCGTCCCCGCTGTCCACCACCAGGCCCGTGACACAGGCGGAGGCGTAGAGGGCCAGCACCGCCTGGTCTGACAAGTAGAAGGCGGGCACCTGGAACTTCTCGAACATCACCTCGGCCATCTTCTCCCGGGTCTCCCTGGGGTTCAGGGACGGCTCGGTCATGAGCACCGGCCGGTCGCTGGCCCTCACTCCCAGCTCCCACTCGAACAGGTGCCTCCAGAGGTGCTCCATGCTGTCCCAGCCGGAGACCAGGCCGCGCTCCACGGGGTGGTGCAGGTGCAGCACCCCCTTCTTATGCAGGGCCTCCTCCCCCACAAAGCACTTCTTCTGGTTGGCGCCCTCCGCGGCCGTCTTGAACTTCGGGTACCCGACGACGGAGCTGATGATGTGGCGAGGCCCGATCTCTCCGGACAGGCCTGCTTTGCAGAGCCCGGACCCATTGTCCACGATCACGGCCGGAGAATCTAGCACGTGTGGGTTAAACATGTCTGCGTCCCTCTCTGCGGTCACTGGAACACGGGCAGGACCCTCTCGGGCCTCTTTGTGACACCGGAGGCTCCTCTGGAAGCTTTGTGGGCTCAGGATTCCAGGGCTCTCAGGGCGTCCCCCGGGCAGGCTAGCAGACGGCGGGCCCCCAAGAGCCCTCCATCCACCCACTGGCCTGCTCCCCTTCAGGGGCCCGGGCGGCCGAGGCTTTTCCAGGGATGGTTGCATATGTCACAATGCAGCCAAGGCAACCACTGTGCCCAGCCAGCACTCCAGGCCTCTAGCGGGTGGGGCGCAGAGCCCCTGGGCACCCCTCACCCGGTGAGACACCGAGCAGAGGAAGGCAGGCCGTACCCACAGGCGGTGTCATCACCAGCCTTAGGACTGGGTGAAGCAGCCTAGCCTGGACCTGCCCAGTGAACAGGCGTCTCCGGCCTGAGCTGCGCTTTGTGGAGTGGCAAAAACACACGTCCCTTGCTAAGGAGTGACAGAGCACCAGGCACAGGCCTAGGAGGGAGGCACAATGCCCACAGCCCCATCACGTCAGGAACTTACAATATTCTTTTTGAAATCAGCCTCCTCCAGGAAGCCCTTGGGGATTTCTCTTTCATTTACCCCAAGAGCCTTGGTTCTGTCCCACAGGGCAGATGCTAAGCAAAGCCCCCTGGGCCCACTGGCGCCCTCTCTAGGTACCCATGTCCCTGCTCCGGGTTGAGGTCAGGGCCCCTCCTTGCTATCTGCAGCCCTGGGAACTCTTACACAGAGCAACCTCCCGTGGTCTTTGGGGCTGGGATTGCAGTGAGGTTTCAAGAGGGTCACCCCAAATGGAGCAGGTCACACCGTCAGCCACACCCCCTGAAGCTCATTCGGAAACGACCGTGTCACCAAGGCCGAGGCCAAGGGCAAGGCCAGCGAGGTGGCCAGGCTGCAGGGCCAGGATGCATCCCCAAGGGGCCGGGCAGAGAGGCTGCTCCAGCCTCCACAGCCCCTAGTCGGCAGCTCTGGCTCTCAGACCCGGGACTGGTCTTCAGCTCAGGGAGAAACCAGGGTCGGATCAGACCCGGGAACAGGGCTCGCTGTTCTTTGAGGAAGGTGGAGGTGGTCGTGGGGACCATGTCTCAAACTGCCCTCCGGCCCGGCTCCTCCCCACCCAGAGGACACCTCCCAGGGTCGCGTCCCTTCCAGATCCCCTCGTCGCCTCCTGCCGCCGCTGGTCCTTACTGCAGGTCCTGCCAACCCACCAGCCAAACTTCACACGTGCTGGGCATGTGGTGCAGACGAGTGGCCGAGCCCTGGGCAGGAGTCAATAAAACTTGGGGTCACGGAGATTTTTCCCAAGGACACCTCTGGGTGGAAACTGAGTCTGTGGCCTCAGACCCTGGGTTTGCAGAGCCCAGACCGCCTTCAGCTTCCACTGTGGGGCTTCTAAGATTTGGGGTCTAGCATTTAAGGGAGCCTGTGTCCCTGGCAGGCTGCTGTGAGGGCGAGGCTGGCCAACAGGACGCTGTGACGGGTCCAGCCCGGTGACACCACAAACGGCCTGTGTACTCCGTCCTCGGACTTTGCTGGAATGTTCTCGCTGCTGCCGACCCTCGGGGCTGAATCAGGAGACACATGCTCTCGAGGTCTCTGGATTTGGGCCCTAAAAGTGGCCCATGTGGGAGGTGATGCAACAGAGCTAGGGTGAGGGGACTGCCCGTGGGTCTGTCCCTTGGCCCGGGGCTGGCTGAGGCACTTGGCATTTGCAGGAGGGACAAAGAGGGAAGGAAAAACATTCATTCAGAGCTTAGACTGACCGGAGGGAACACTGAGGCTGCTGGCCACCCGGCTACCAAAACACACCAACAGCCAGCCGGCTCGGCAGAGCAGCCCTGGGGAGCAGTCCCCGCTCCCCCTTCTCTGTGCACTGGGACAGGCGACCCCATCAGGACAGCACCTCCTTCCCTGTCTCATGCTCCGGGCTCTGGGTCAGACTTCAGGCAGCCCCCAGCCCCTCTGCCCTCCTCCCTGGCTTGGCCCTCGGAGCCAGCCCCGGGCTTGTCAAGGCTCCTGTCCCCACCATGAAGTGTCTAATCCGGCCGACTGGTCGCCCCCCACCCCCATGGAGAGCAACAGGAGGGCTCCTGAGACCCCACCACCAAGAACTGGGAGGCTCCCTGGGGGGGCGACACCACGTGGCCACTGAGAAATCCGAGTGGGTTTATGAGCCACGGCCTACGTGACATCGTGTTGGTTTCCAGCTCCCTGCGGGGCAGAAATCCCAGCCGTGGCTCTCAGGTGCCTGGGAACCTCCTCCTGGGCCCTCCGTGACATCCGCCGCAGAAATGCCTCCATCCCAGGACCACCTGGGTCTGTGCAGCTTGGAAGGGTCATGTGGGCCATGCAGGTGTCCACGTCCACGGTGTCCTCGCCACTTAGGCGGATGCCACATGCAGCGCCACGGAAATATATCGTAGCCGAGCATTCGCCGCGGAGGCTGTCACCACAAGGATGCCGTCCCCTCTCCTGGCTCCAGCTAGAAAGCCGCTTGTCTGTGGCCGCCCTGCCCCCACCGTGCCGGCCAGGCCTCGTAAATCGCTTGAACAAGTTTATGGGCAAACTGGCTGTAACTCCATCTCCCTCCGCAGGGCAAGGCTCGCCACCGTGATTATTCTGGAGGGCACCCGTTTCCGTCCGGTACAGAAGGCTGGCTCTTATTTCTGCTCCAGCGGTCACGCCCGCCGCAGCCCCCACGTGGTCCCCCTCCTGTGCCCTTGGAGGAGCCCCAGCCCGTGACGGAGGTGGACAGTCCCTGGAAAAACTTGGGAGGCTGCCAGGCATTTACACTTGGGAGTGGGCAGCCTTGGGTCTGCTGGGCACCTCAGCTTCCCGCTATCCTGGGTCCATGTGACTGGGCCACCCAAGCCTGGGCCAGGGGCCGCCCTGTCCCATCATCTCTGGTTCCATGTGTCACTGGCGCCCAGACCCTCAGCCAATTAGCGACCAGCAGACCGGGCTCATTAGCGCTGGCTGACATCTGGCGGCCAGATCCCTCTTGCTGCCAGCCTGGTCCAGTGACCTCCGGCCACCTGAAGCCACAGGCAACAGCAGATGGCAAGATGGGCACTGCTCATGCAGAGAGAGGGGTGAGCGTGCACCAGGGAGCTGTGCCAGTCCAGATCGCGGTGCCCGCAGCACCTTCCACCTCTCTGCCCAGTCAATTCAGAGGAGCCCAAAGCCCCAAGGACTCCTCCTGGTAGCCAGGCCCTTTATATCTCTAGGATGGATCCTGTACCACTTACCCACCCCTCCATTCTTCCACCCACCATCTGTCTACTCATCCATCATCCATCTACCCACCTATTGGTCCATCCACCCCCCATCCATCCATCTTCCATCATCCATCC